AGATCGTAAGGAAGAGCTCTTGGATTGAATGTTGAAGAGGCATCCCCAAACTTTTGTGCTTCACGAGCTAACCAGTCAGAGAATGACCTTGTTATCTTCTTGATTCCTTCTTAGTGTAATTTAGAGTGCAGAAAAGCCTCATGTAGTCCTCTGCATTTGCATCATATACAAGTCCAAGGTCGAGTGCCATATTTGGATTTAGGTGACCCACTCCCGTGGCAAGAGGACTGGTGAGTTGCTCGTCGTCTAAGAGCTGTGATGGGTTTGATAGTGCTATTGAGTCAATCTGATGTTGTCATCATGGCAGATCAAATGGCTGTTGGGCTTCATCCAGGATGGACTGCTTTCATAAGTACTCCCACTCCCAGCGCAAGAGGACAACCCATGGAGGTTCCGTATAAGATGTTGAAGTTTCTAAACAGCTTTGTTGATCCTTCGTTCACCGAAGGAGGCCTAGATACAAGAACAAAGGAGTTGGGAGCCATGAGGTCAGACTTTAGAACAAGGTTTGAAAGAAAATTAGGAAAAACAGGAATTCTGTGGCTGAACCAAGAACTAATCAGAGCTAAAGCCAAACCACGTAAACATTCACCCACTTATGGGAGTTATGATGGAGCTATCTTAAGCAATTATTACAACAAATTGGATGATGCTAGAGATCTTTCCAGAGAGGAGTTTGACTTCCATCTTCAATGATAAGCCTCACCCCTGTAGGAAGGTGACTAATAATATCCCTTTTTTTCCCCGCATTACCCATCAATCATTATCTCCAAATCTCATTAATCAGATTAAGATAGACAGGATCACATTAGAAAACTTATACGAAGCATGTCTGTTTTTTTCTCGCCCCTTCCCCAGTTTTAATGTATTATTTTGTACATTGACCTGTCCAATTTGTAATATAAGTTCTACAAAAAATAAAAATGACATAGTCCAGCTTGGGCTATAATAAAGTCGGGCATAAAAATGAGTAACTGTCAGAACCCCATACCCAGAACCAGAAGATATAATTTTCTCAGTCCATACAATATTTGGTTATGAAGAAAGAATTTGGATTTTTTTAATTACTTGGGTGTTCTCATCAGAATCACTGTTATGGTCAGATCCGAGGTAGTTAGAACTAGGAGGAGTTAGAATGAGAGTTAGACTGGAGAAGTTTTAATTACTTGGGTGTTCTGGCGGGGATCCCGTCAAAATGGCTAGTCACGCCAAAGGAGGGGTTCGTTAATACCAAATGACAAATCCCTCGCCCAAGAAATCTTAGAGTTCCTGGAATACCGATGCCATTATCTTCTTTCTTCTTCACGCTTTATTCCTTACTTATTTTTCTTCCTCCGCCGATGCAAAGGAAGCCACAACCACGAATAGTTTGTGTCCTCCTTCGATTTAGAGAACTATCAAGCATGCCACGAGTAGTGGTTGCCTTGAAAACTCGATTGCTTCAGAGAGGTCGATTTGAAAATGCGAACCTGTGAAAATCACACAGGTTTGAAGATTTGAAGCCAGAGTGTTTGCAATGAAGGCAGAGAGTTCAATCGACTACATACTATTTCGCTCCAGGTACTCCATTCCTGTTCCTGTGACTCCAGTAGATTATTTTCCCAATGATACTTGTGTGAATCATTATGCTTTTGTTTAATCCACATTGCAATAGTTGTTAATTGTGATTTTTTTCATCTTAAT